ATTGAAATGGGCAAGTGTAGACAGCGGGCAAGTTTTCCCGAAAAAGCAGATGATTTTGCGGAAAAACTTGCCAGTCTAGACACAACCTTTAAGTGTAAGCTTCAATGTGAATTTAAAAAGTTTCTCTAACTTTTTAAGACCAAGAACACCAAGCAATCTTTTTTTTGTTTTGTTTTGTTTTGTTTTAATGGGGAACACCAAAGACTTTTTTTTGTAGCGCAAAACAAGAAAATAAAAACAGCCCCCAGGGAAAATTTGTCAAGCAAAACAGCAACAACAAAAACCCCCAACCATCAGAGGAGGACAGCCTTGGGGCAGGATGTCTGGCCAGGAGGGAACTTGGGGCAGGCAGGGAGGGTGCAGGAGGGGACTTGAGGCAGGGAGTCAGAGCAAGCTGGGAATGTGGGGTCTCGGCAGCAGGAGGGATGTGAGGGGGGTTTGGGTGCGGGGTCTTGACATGAGGGGGGATGCTTAGGTGGCCAGGCACCCTGCTGCAGCAGGGGCAGCAGGGAAAGCCTCCAGGGAGCATGCTCTTGTTCCTCGGGGGGGGTGGGTGGAAAGCTCAGTTCCCTCCTTCCCCCACCCATGTCGTGGGGAACCCAGCACAGCTGTAGCACCAGGCCAGCCTTCCTGCTGGCAGGGTGGGGGGGAGTAGAAACCCCAACTGTCCCCGCCAGATTAAACTCTGCCACTTCCCCCGCAGGCTGGGGAGGGGCACAGGGGAGAGAAAACAGCAGCACATGGCGGGGAGGCAGTAGAACCCAGGTGGCAGGCCACAGAGCCTGAGCCGGGTTCCCCGCAGACGGCAGGTTTAAAACGCTGAAGTTCCTCCATGTCTCCTGCTCATTAAGAAGGCCAATCAAAACGAAAGGGCCCATTGTGAGACATCACCGCACCATGACTTTGTTAATTGCCCCTTCAGAGGCTGTGTGCAAAAGGACTGGCCCCGGCAGCTCGAATTCTGAAAGATATGCCAATAGCAGGGGAGAAAACGCTTCCTCTCTTTCATTGTTCAGACTCTCCCAGGGCAGAAGCCAGGAACAGAAGCAGAGATCCTCAGGGCCAAGCTGGGTTCACCCTAGAATAGGGGTTCCCAACCTTTTTCGGTCCCCATACCCACTTGGCTTTTAGTAAACCTTCCCGTACCCCCTATTCAATACGAAAGGCGATACATTCTAGACTCAAGAATCCACAACTTTTTTCACTCACCACTACTACTTTGGGATAGCGATAGAAATGGAGCCGTGTCAGTCTGGGGTAGCTGAAACAAAAAACAGGCCAATGTAGCATTTTAAAGACTAACAAGATGGTTTACTAGATGATGAGCTTTCCTGGGCCAGACCCACTTCCTCAGATCAAATGGTGAAAGAAAATTGTCACAACCATAGATACCAAAGGATTTTTTAACTGTATCCTTTGGTATCTATGGTTGTGACAATTTTCTTCCACCATTTGATCTGAGGAAGTGGGTCTGGCCCACGAAAGCTCATCATCTAGTAAACCAGCTTACTACTTTGGGAATATTTCAATGAGGATAATCTAGTTATTTACCAACTATTCCCCGTGTCCCCTTGACAAGCTTCTCGTACCTCCTGGGGGTACGTGCTCCCCAGGTTGGGAACCCCTGTCCTAGGATATTAGCCAAAGTGGGAGAGGTTTTATTGGATCAACTTCTGTTGGCGAGAGAGAAGCTTTCGAGTTTACCCAGAACTGACAAGCTCTGTGTAGCTGAAAGTTTTATTTTTTTTCACCAAGGCTGTGTCTACACGGCAGAGAGGTTTTTTTGTTTTGTTTTGTTTTTCAGAAAAACAGCCATTTTTCCAAAAAAGCGTCCCTTACCTCCACACTGCAATCGTGTTCTTCTTTCGATTTACTTTCGGAACAGAGGGGTTTTTCCGACATTGGGAATCCTCTTTATACAAGGAAGAAGCCTTTTTGCGAAAGAGGTGTGTGTGGACGGGGGAAAAGGGAGTTCTGTCGAAAGAAGAGGAAAGAGGAAAAAGCACTGGTGGCCACTCCGTCTATAGTAATCACCGCTTATATGTGAGATCGCGTCCATTCGGTGCAGACGCTCTTTTTCGATAAAGCAGATGGCTTTCTCAAGGTGCTTGGGCAGTGCGGACACTCTCTTTTGGTAGTGTAGACATACCCTTATAGACTAACTGAAGTGTAGGAGCATAAGCTTTCGTGGGCAAAGACCCACTTCGTCAGATGCATGCTTATGCTCCTACACTTCAGTTAGTCTATAAGGTGCCACAGGACTCCTCGTCGCTTTTGCAGATTCAGACTAACACGGCGACCCCTCTGATACTCTCTTTCAGAAGAAGTTTTCTTGGAAGAGCTCTTCCAGGAAAGCTTCTTCCGAAAGAAGCCGGCCGTCTGGATGTGGCCTTGCAACAGAAGTGGGTGCAATAAAAGCTATTACCTCACCTACCTTGTGTTACTTGCCATTTCCACTATCATTTAGATCATGAGTTCCCAAACTGGGGGGGGCGTGAAGAAATTCCAGGAGGGGGCGCAAGGCAACCCAGCCCTACTCCCCCTCGGCAATCCCTCCCCCCAAGTTTTGCTGTTATTTTTGGTTTTTGTCCCCGGTCAGTTCCTTTTTTTTTTTTTTCCCCTCAACAAGTTTTGCTGCTATTTGGGGGGAGGGGAGGGAGGGTGTGAAGGTGTCTCAAAAATCAAAAAGGGAGCGTGATGCCGAAAAGTTTGGACACCCACTGATTTAGATAATGCCAGTCCCTCAATGAGCACTCGTTGTTTTCTCTTCCTATTTTAGCTGATGTTTCTAAGTGCTGGTTCAAGAAACTCACTCTCCTCACTGTGGTCCTCTTCATTTTGATCATCATCATTGTTCTGGCAGGTGAGTTCTCTGTAGTTCTTCTCTGGTCTCCTGTGCTTCCCATTTTGCTTTGGATCTCACACACTCTGACTCTCCCCAGCCTCCAGCTTCCACTCCTTGGGTCCTTTCTACTTCACCTGCCCTTTAAATCAGCTGTCAAGTGGTCCCCTTGGGGGACCATCCTTCTGCCTCCTTTACTGCAATGAAAGGGTTGCAATTTGTTGAGATCTGGGGAGGGGGGCTAATTTTACAGTGCGACTCCTTTTTTTTCTGCCACATGAGAAAAGTTTCCTTTTTTAATTCTCTCCACCTTCTGTGTAGACCAGGGGTCCCCAACCTGTGCTCCGCAGGCCCCTGGTGGTCCATGACGGTACTGCAGGGGGTCCACGGAAAGTTTAAAAGAGAAATTAAAATAAACGTAAGGAGCCTCTCGCCGCCAGCATATCCTTCAACCCCTGCGTCCACACTGCCTTTGAGTTATGTCGACATTATTCCTCGTAGAATGAGGTTTACATCCGTCGACAAAACTCAACAGTTTTGTCGACGGATGTAAACCTCATTCTACGAGGAATAATGTCGACATAACTCAAAGGCAGTGTGGACGCAGGTGTAGTTTTGTCGACAAAAGTCCACTTGGCTTGCTTTGTCGACAGAACTGGATGTAGTCTAGACGCTCTTTGTCGACAGAAGCTTTGTTGACAGGATCTTTCGACAAAACTTCTGTCGACAAAACCCTGTAGTCTAGACGTACCCAGAGAGGGAGAGCATCTCCAACCCTGATTTATTTTCTCGTTTTCATCAGTAACATTTAACCCATCTTCAGCTGATCCAGCAGCTGCCCACTGCTGCCCAGATGGCTGGGTTGGGTACCAAAGACAATGCTACTATTTCTCAGAGGCCGAAGAGAGCTGGACCGACAGCCAGGACCACTGCTTCTCCCTTGGTGCCTCCCTGGCTGGGATCGACACCCAGCAGGACCTGGTGAGAGCTCAGCTGGGCAGTTAGAGTGGGCAGTGTGGTGCAGCGTAGCTGCAGGAGTTCTGTATGGCCCCAAGCACCTTACATGGCGGGTGGTCAGACAGATGGAGGGTGGTCATCAAGTGATCAAACTGTCCTCCCTTCTCAGCTTCTGTCAAACAGAGATTGGGGACACCATTCCTACCCATCCTGGCTAACAGCCATTGATGGACTTAACCTCCATGAATTTATTGAGCTCTTTTTTTGAGCCATGTTAAAATCCTGGTCTGCACAACATCCTCTGGCAAGGAGTTCCACAGGTTGACTGTGCGTTGTGTGAAAAAAATGCTTCCTTTTGTTTGTTTTAAACCTCCTTCTTATTAGAATCATAGAATCATAGAACTGGAAGAGACCTCAGAAGATCATCAAGTCCAGCCCCCTGCTCTGGGCAGGACCAATTCCAACTAAATCAACCCAGCCAGGGCTTTGTCAAGCCAGGACTTAAACACCTCTAGGGATGGAGACTCCACTACTTCCCTAGGGAACCCATTCTAGTGCTTCACCACCCTCCTCGTGAAATAGTTTTCCCTAATATCCAACCTGAACCTCTCCCACCACAACTTGAGACCATTGCTCCTTGTTCTACCATCTGTCACTACTGAGATGTTAATTTCATTTGGTGACCCCCTAATTCTTATATTAAAGGAACAAGTATATAACATTTTGGGATTGGTCCTGCCTTGGGCAGGGGGCTGGACTTGATGACCTGCTGAGATCTCTTCCAGCTCCATAATTCTATCATTCTAACCTTTCCTTAATCGCATTCTCCACACAATTTTATCAACTTCTGTCGTATCTCCCCTTAGTCTCCTCTTGTCTAAGCGGAAAAGTCACAGCATTATTAACCTCTCCTCACATGGCAGCATTCCAAATTCCTCACCATGTTTGTTGCCCTTTTCTGACCTTTTTCCAGTGCTAAGATCTCTTTTGTGAGATGAGGCTCAGCACCTAAATTGTTTCAGGGAAGTGCCTGGAGCTACTCTTAAGTATGTGGTTGAATTGGGCTCAGAGTTAACACAGTATGACGTGTATGACTTTAGATGACATCAAGAATAGCCTGCACTGTGTCCTGTTTGCAGCACAGAAAGAATGGAATACATTCTTTGTAGTAAGTAATATCTTGCACTTCCTTTTTCGGAAAGGCTTTCATTAACCGCTATAAAGGCCTCTCTGAGCACTGGATTGGCCTCCGGAGGGAACCGGGCCAGCCCTGGAAATGGACCAACGGCACTGAGTTCAATCACTGGTGAGTCCTTTTTCTTGTCCAGGGTGGGGCTTGTCAGGGAAGCTGGATCAAAGGCCAGCCGGCTGCTCCAGGAAGCAGGTCTGGGATTGCTGGAGGCAGGGGCCTGGGTGAGTTGTTGGCTGTAGGTTGAACTGGTCCGAGTAATAAAACGTGGCCCCGTGGACATGGGCTGAACCACTGTGGGAAACTTGAAACAATACCTCTGAGACATGCCGCAATACCTCAGCTGTGTACAGCTGGTGACTGAATAAGGCTGGTTTCTGCCGCCACACGGACCACTTCGGTCGCGTCCCGTTTTAAACAGAAGCCGCAAAGCCAGCATACGTCTCCATCGCTATGGGTGTGGAAGTCCAGATCCTAGGGAGAGGGAGGCACAGATCATCGCTATCATAGGCTGGAGCTGGGAAAGAGGCATTCAACTGCCTCCCTCAAATGTAGCCCTCTCCTTCATGTCCCAAAGATGGGGAGAGACAAAGGGAATGCATCCCCTTCCCAGGGACAAAATATTTGTACGGCTTGCTGGGTCCTTAGATAAGAAAAGCTCCAGTTGTCCCTAACCAAGCTGCTTAAACTTAAGAACGGCCACACTGGGTCAGACCAAAGGTCCATCTAGCCCAGTGTCTTGTCTGCCGACAGTGGCCAATGCCAGGTGCCACAGAGGGCGTGAACAGAACAGGGAATCATCAAGGTGAAGCACTGGAATGGGTTCCCTAGGGAAGTAGTGGAGTCTCCATCCCTAGAGGTGTTTAAGTCTCGGCTTGACAAAGCCCTGGCTGGGTTGATTGAGTTGGGATTGGTCCTGCCTAGAGCAGGGGGCTGGACTTGATGACCTTCTGAAGTCTCTTCCAGTTCTATGATTCTATGATTCTATAAGTGATCCATCTCCTGTTGCTCATTCTTTGCTGTTGGCAAACAGAGGTTAGGAACACCATCCCTGCCTGTCCTGGCTAATAGTCATTGGTGGACTTATCCGTCTTCCATGCTTTTATCTAGTTCTTTTTTGAATCCTGTTATAGTCTTGGACTTCACAACATCCTCTAGCAAGGAGTTCCACAGGTTGACAGTGCATTGTGTGAAGAAATGCTTCCTTTTGTTTGCTTTAAACCTGCTACCTATGAATTTTACTGGGTGACCTGGTGTGTTATAGAAAAGAGTAATTTACTCACTTAATTCACTTTTCCCACACCAGTCATGATTGTATAGATTTCTATCATATCCTCACCCACTCCCCCCGCTTTAGTCATCTCTTCTCCAAGCTGAAAAGTGCCAGTCTTCTGAATCTCTCCTCAAATGGCATTTTTGTTACTCTTTTCTGAACTTTTTCTAATGCCAAGATAGATTCTTTGAGATGGAGCAACCACATCTGTACGCAGTATGCAAGATGTGGGTGCACCATTGATTTATACAGAGGCAATAAGATATTCTCGGACTTACTTTCTACCTGTTTCTTAATGATTCCTAACACTGTTTGCTCTTTTGACTGCCGCTGCATGCTGAGTGGATGTTTTCAGAGAACGATTCACAATGACTCCAAGAGCTCTCTCCTAATTTAGTCCCGTTTATATTATGCATATAAGTGGGATTATGTTTTCCAATGTGCATTACTTTGCATTTATCAACCTTAAAATTCATTTGCCGCTTTCCCTTGACAACTTCTGTGATGTAATTGTGTTTGAAACTTTGCACCAAAATTGTACAGCCGCCCTGAAATTAAATATTTGAAAACAGCATTTCATATGATCCCTAAGGGTCTAATTTGCATCCCTTTTACGGAAAAGGGATGCAGTCTATACACAGCCCAGGACTGCAGAGATCTTCCGAAAAAACTTCTTCCGAAAGAGAGCGTCCACAAGGCCAAAGCGCATCGAAAAGGCAATCTGCTTTTTCAACACTTTGGGCTGTGTCTAGACTACATGCCTCTGTCGGCAGAGGCATGTAGATTAGACAGATAGGCAAAGGCAAATGAAGCCGCGATTTAAATGATCGCAGCTTCATTTACATTTACATGGCTGCCGCGCTGAGCCAACAAACAGCTGATCAGCTGTTTGTCTGCTTGCGCGCTAGTCTGGACGTTCCCTCTGTCGACATCGAAGCCCTTTGTCGGCAGCCCCAGTAAACCTCATTCCACGAGGAATACCGGGGCTGCCGACAAAGGGCTTTGATGTCAACAGGGGGAACGTCCAGACTAGCGCGAGAGCCGACAAACAGCTGTTTGTCAGCTCAGCGCGGCAGCCATGTAAATGTAAATGAAGCCGCGATCATTTAAATCGCGGCTTCATTTACCTTTACCTATGTGTCCACACTGAATGGACGCTCTCTCGCATGTAAGCCATGATTACTGTGGATGGAGTGGCCATCACGGCACCTGTGCTTTTTCCTCTTTCCTCTTCTTCCAGAAGAACTCCCTTTCAGAAAAAGGCTTCTTCCTCGTAGAAAGAGGAATACCAATGCCGAAAAACCCCCTCTGTTCTTTCGATTTTTTTTTTCGAAAGAGCGCGATTGCAGTGTGGATGTAACTTAGGTTGGCTGTGTCTAGACTGGCCAGTTTTTCCGGAAAATCAGTTGCTTTTCTGGAAAAACTTGCCAGCTGTCTACACTGGCCCTTGAATTTCCGCAAAAGCACTGACGAGCTCATGTAAGATTGTCAGTGTTCTTGCAGAAATACTATGCTGCTCCCGTTCGGGCAAAAGTCCTTTTGCGCAAAACTTTTGCACAAAAGGGCCAGTGTAGACAGCCCAGATTTATTTTCCGCAAAAAAGCCCTGATAGCGAAAATGGCGATCGGGGCTTTTTTGCGGAAAAGCGCGACTAGATTGGCATGGATGCTTTTCCGCAAAAAGTACTTTTGCGGAAAAGCATCCGTGCCAATCTGGACGCTCTGTTCCGAAAATGCTTTTAACGGAAAACTTTTCCGTTAAAAGCATTTCCGGAAAATCATGCCAGTCTAGACGTAGCCGTGTTGTTGGAAAAACAGCTGTTTTTCTGACAAAACTCTGTAGTGTAGACATCCCCAAGGAGGGGATGTTGGACTAACGGGACTACACAGAAGCAAAAGGAGACAACGCGGCATAGTTTTAAAAGGTCTTGCCGCTTACTTTTAGCGCTCTGTGCCGTAGAGACTATGAAGCCTGGAGTGTAATTCCGTGGTGCTTGCAATGCAGGTTTGAAGTCCGAGCTGACGGCGAGTGTGCGTATCTGAATGACGTGGCAGTCACCTCGTCGTGGTGTGACACGGTGCGATACTGGATCTGCAGCAAACCGGCTGCCAGACGGACGAGGAATGAGGCACATGCTGCGCAAGGGCAATCAGAAATGTCAAAGCATGGCTGAAGGACTGTCGCGGGCACAATGGCACCCCCTACTCCAACTTCTCTGCTCAACATATTTGTATCGGACTCGAGCGTTTTAAAAATGCACTTTACGGTTCCAAGGTGGGGCAGAGGTGGGGACTACTCCTGACGCGTTGTACCTTGTTTCTATCGAAGCGAAGGTTGTCCAGAGACTTTCAGCCTCTGTTTTTCCTCAGGGGTACCCATATTTAGGCCATTTCTGAAGAGCCAGGCTCTGGACTCCATTTTCTTGCTGTCTGGGAGCTGTCAGATGAGAAACAACTGGGTCTGGGCACTGACTTCGTGGGTGGACTGAGACTGAAGCACCCACAGAAAAAAACAAACAAGGGGCACTCAGCAGCAATGTTCCCTCTCACTTTTTCCATCCATGTGCAGAATAAATGTTCTGTGCACCAAGGCATGTGTGGATGTGCACCACCAATAGAAACACACGCTGCTAGCTGGGGTGGGGGGTTAGATGCTCTTTTAGATGCCACCTGGGAGAGGAGGGGGTTAGATGGCCAAGCACTGAGTGTTTGTAGGGTTGCCAGGTGTCCAGTATTTTCGCCTCCTAGCTGGGGGAAAAAAAGCAGAAAATACTGGACATTTAAGGTGTAAAATTTTCTGAATTTTTTTACCAGACAGGAGTCAAAAATACCGGACTGTCCGGGTCAATACCAGACACCTGGCAACCCTAACCCTATCCCCTAGTCCACTCTAAAATCCCCTTTCTCGGCCTACCTTCTGGGTTTCCCTAATCCTGCCTCTGAATGCTAGAGCCAGCTCTGGGGAACGCGCTACTGGTTTGGTTCCTTTGCAAACCTTCTTCCCATGCTGCCGCCTCCGTGATGTGGACCATGAGATCGGATCTTCCCACCTGGCCCAGAGACAAATCCCTCGGCCCTGCTGTGCGAAGGTGGGGTTCTCACAGTCTATAAACAGCTCAATTCCCTTGTTCAAAATCGAGGGGTGCCCGTTGAAGAGGGGGTCCAGTTTTGTTTGAGAGAGGTGATCGCCATTTTGTTCAGTTAGAACTACAGGGCTACGTCTAGACTGGCATGATTTTCCGCAAATGCGTTTAACAGAAAAGTTTTTCCGTTAAAAGCATTTGCGGAAAAGAGCGTCTAGATTGGCACGGAAAAGCACTTTTGCGGAAAAGTGTCCGTGCCAATCTAGACGCGGTTTTGCGCAAGAAAGCCCCGGTCGCCATTTTCGCCATCGGGGCTTTTTTGCGCAAAACAATAACGCGTTGTCTACACTGGCCAAAAGGGACTTTTGCCCAAATGGGAGCAGCATAGCATTTCCGCAAAAAGCACTGATTTCTTACTGTAGGAAGTCAGTGCTTTTGCGGAAATTCAGGGGGCCAGTGTAGACAGCTGGCAAGTTTTTTCCGCAAAAGCTTTTGTGGAAAAACTTGCCAGTCTAGACGCAGGGCAGGATTCTTGTTCCTCCCAGAGGAGGAAAAGGCGGGAAGGCCAGAAAGAGCGGGAAAAGGAAGGCGGTAGGGCCGACTTATCCATTAGGCACAGTAGGCACAGTGCCTAGGGCCCACGATACTTTTAGGGGCCCACAAACATGTTTTCATTTCTTTTAAAATCAGAAGAAAAAAAATGAACTTTTAGGGTTAAAGAAAATGTGTTCATTTTTTTTCTCACATCAGAAAAAAATGAAACTTTTAGGGCCCACGAAAATCTATTAAATTTTGCCTAAAACAGAAGCATAAAATGTTGACGTATTTAAAGTTATATCGAAAATCATTTTTAATATTTTTTTTGTATGGACGAAGGGGCCCACAAAGGCAAACGTGCCTAGGGCCCCCAAAAGTCATAATGCAACCCTGGAAGGCGTGAGTATTAGTTGCCCTATAACCCCGTTCTCCTGTATTAGCTGAGCTCCTATGATACACTATAGCCAAGGACTCCCAGATGTATTGGGAGAACACAGTGTCACAGTTCAGAGCACCTGCACCTGTATTCTCCCACTGTGGCCCAGTAATGGCACCCAGCAGTATTTCCTGCAGCTGTGCACTTGTGCGGCTATTCAGAAGATACTTAAATGCTGCCCAGCTGATTAGCAGAGCACTCACAGCGAGGTTTTATTTCTATGGTGGTGCACATCTGCACATGCCTTGGTGCACATAACATTTATTCTGCACATCAATGGAAACTATTAGGCTTTGCATCTAGACTGCAGCGTTTTATCAGAAAAAGTTACGCAAATAGCAAACCAGGGCCAAATTTCGGAAAAAACTCCTCTTTTGGAACATCCCTTATTCCTCTCACTGAGAGGAATATAGGGATGCTGAAAGAATGCCCTCACTTTTTTGGAAACTGTTCCAAAAAGCAGACAAGTTTCCTGGATGTGGCAGAGTTTTTCCAGGATACCTCCGGTATCGGGTATCCCGGAAAAACTCTGCAGTTTGGACATAGCCCTAGTGTGGCATACTTAATTTAAAAGGTCATTTCTGAGAGAGGGGTTTAAAAGGTACATCTAGACTACAAGCCTCTTTCAAAAGAGCCTTTTTTGAAAGAGCTCTTGAAAAGAGATCATCTAGACAGCCACAAGACAGCGGATCGCTTTTTCGAAAGGCCTGTCGAGGTACACAGGAGGTCAGACTAGATGACCTAGTGTCAGCTAAATATGACATTAAAAGAATCGGGGTAAGCTCTGGTTTAGTTAAGGAATATGTGTGATACATGCTGTAAAGAAAGGCCCTGACTACCTAGGCGAAGGAAGGCCTTGAAAAGAATGAAGTATAAAAGCAAAAGGAGGGAGGATGCCTTTTTCAAAGGATAGCTCATGAGATACAGGAAGTTTCTCATGAGAAGGCCTCTGACCAAGAGGGCTGACTGCAGATGGCCTAAAAAGAAACAGGACCACACGATTAACTCAAAAAAGTAACCACAATTTAAAATAGCCATCTTGATTAATCGCACTGTTCAAAAATAGAATCCTAATGGAACTGTATTAAATATTTTGCATGTTTTTCCTCCCTTTTCCTATGAATTTTATTCTGCACTTTGACTGAAATCAAAACTAAGTTCGCCTCCTTTATCAAAGAAAAAGAAACTTGAACCATCTACTTCCCTATTTTTCTCCCCTTCCCCCCCTCCCTTCCACCTTCCCTTATTTATTCTTGGATCGGGACTTTTAATACTCCAGTCATCCAAAGAAGTGAAATGCAGGACAATGTAGCACTTTAAAGACTAAGAAGATGGTTTATTAGATGATAAATAGACGTGGGTTGTGCCCACAAAAACTCATGATAACCTTCTACATGTTTTGTTAGTCTTGAAGGTGCTGCAGGACTAGTCTCTGTTTAAGTTTTTCCAAAGAAAGAGAGAGATGCACAGTGGTTGCTCCCTCCCACACAGTAATTATTTATACTATGCTTGATAAACAAGAGTGTTTTTATTAAGTATAAAAAGTAGGATTTAAGTGGTGGCAAGTGAAAACAGTCGGATAAAACGGAGTTAGTAAGACAAAACAAACAAAGCAAGCCCGCTAATCTAAATTCACGCCAAAAGTTGTTGCAACTCAAGAGACGAGCGTTGTTGTTAAGGTCCTGAGCTATGCCTTGCGAAAACTGGATCAGTTCTTGTTTCATCCTAGGCAGACTCTCTGTGGCCTTTGGGCAAGTGACTTGGGACCAGATTTTGTTTAAGTCTCAGCTTGACAAAGCCCTGGCTGGGAAGATTTAATTGCAGTTGTTCCAGCTTTTGTAACATTTGTGTCACAAGTTAAGCAGCCTCTTAGCATGGGCCTGATCCTTCCCCCTGTTCAGTCTTAGATATTTCCAGCAGGCATTTTAGGTGCTAAGAGGGGAAGTCTCCCGGCATCAGCCCCAAATTTTGGTTCACTTCCTCAGATGCTGAAGGATTAAAGAAAAAAGAAACCAAAAGGATACAGAGATGGGAGTGTGCCTGTATTTCCTTTAATTCCTGTTGGCTGTGTCTAGACTGGCAAATTTTTCCACAAAATCAGTCTTAGATATTTCCAGCAGGCATTTTAGGTGCTAAGAGGGGAAGTCTCCCGGCATCAGCCCCAAATTTTGGTTCACTTCCTCAGATGCTGAAGGATTAAAGAAAAAAGAAACCAAAAGGATACAGAGATGGGAGTGTGCCTGTATTTCCTTTAATTCCTGTTGGCTGTGTCTAGACTGGCAAATTTTTCCACAAAATCAGATGATTTTGCGGAAAAACTTGCCAGCTGACTACACTGGCTGCTTGAATTTCTGCAAAAGCACTGATGATCTCATGTAAGATCGTCAGTTCTTTTCCGGAAATACTATGCTGCTCCCGTTCGGGCAAAAGTCTTTTTCCGAAAGACTTTTGCGCAAAAGGGCCAGTGTAGAGAAAAAGACTTTTGCCCGAACGGGAGCAGCATAGTTTTTCCAGAAAAACACTGATGATTTTACAGGAGATCGTCAGTGCTTTTCCAGAAATTCAAGCGGCCAGTGTAAACTTGCTAGTCTAGACACAGCCCTAACGGAACACTTTAAAATAAACAATCTTTACTTAACTTAAGTAAACAGGGATTAACAGATTAGCAATGAATAGCATTAACAAAACACAAAACCATAATTGAAGCTTATATAGCTAGACAACCGTGACCCCACCCCAGAGTGTGCACACCCCTAGACTCAGTCCCAGACTTGCTTGCATTGGCGCGCTGATGTTGCAGCTGTAGTGGACATTTGGTCCAGGCTAAACAGCAGCTCTGTCCCAGGCAGCACTTTTCCAACACGGCCCAAAACTTACTGCCTCGTGCTGTGTCTATAGGGAGCAGCCTGCTAACTCCCAGTTCCAACAGGCATCTAGTAGATGCATCCAACAGCCCCTGCACTGGGTCACGATCGGGGTTTTTTTGCGGAAAACAGTACACGGGCCCTTTTGCGCAAAAGCCTTTCGGAAAAAGACTTTTGCCCGAACGGGAGCAGCATAGTTTTTCCAGAAAAACACTGATGATTTTACAGGAGATCGTCAGTGCTTTTCCAGAAAT